TATATATATATTGGTAGAACAAATGCAGCAATCTCTTGGTCCTTGGTAATAAAGCAATGCAGTAACCCAGCAACCAATTAGATTTCCGCTTACAAGCTGCTGCGTCATGCACATGCATTAATGTCCGCTCTGCCATGTGTTTAGTTAAGGTAGCCCATCGAAAAAATGTTTGCCCCAACGCATGGCAAGTGCATTGCGGCAAACAGTTTGTGACGTGTCTGATTTCTGGTGCGTCAAAGACTGTGCGCTGCCGTATGGCATTGTGGTGCTATTCAAAATGCGTTGAAACACATGCATTGCCTTAGTGGGTTTTTGTTGGTGCGTTGAATCACGTGCATTGCCTTATTGGAGATATTTGGTACATTAAAACACATGTGCATTGCTTTTAGTGGGGCTTTTTTGTGCATTGAAACACATGTGCATTGCCTTATTGGGGAGTTTTTGGTGCATTAAAACGCATGTTCATTTCCTTCGTGGGGATTTTTGGTGCGTCGTAACACATGTGCATGGCCTTATTGGGGATGTTTGATGCATTGAAACACATGTGCATGGCCTTATTGGGGAGTTTTTGGTGCATTAAAACGCATGCACATTTCCTTACAGGGGATTTTTGGTGCGTCGTAACACATGTGCATTGCCTTAGTGTGGATTTGTGGTGCATTGAAACATGTGTGTTGCCTTAGTGGGGACTTTCTGTGTGTTGAAACCCATGTGCATGGCCTTATTGGGGAGTTTTCGGTGCATTAAAATGCATGAGCATTTCCTTAGTGGGGATTTTTGGTGCTTTTGAAACACATGTGCATTGCCTTAGTTGGGATTTTTAGTGCATCTAAACACATATGCATTGCCTTATTGCGGCTTTTTGGTGCATTAAAACGCATGTGCATTGCCTTAGTTGGGATTTTCCGTATGTGTAAACACGTGCATTGCCTTATTGGAGATTTTTAGTGCGTCGAAACACACGTGCGTTGCCTTAGTGGGGATATTCGGTGCATCGAAACACATGTGCATTGCCTTAGTGGGTATTTTTGGTGCGTTGAAACACATGTGCATTGCCTTAGACCATTGGGGTGCTATTGGAAATGCGTAATTAACATGCGTTCCCGGCGTCGCACAGATGTAAATGGTCCCTCGCTCTGACTGGCAGCCCGCTCTTTGCTGTGGCCCAGGTTTGATCAGGCCACCGGTGAGCCTGACCAGTGAAGTGGCTAGACGTTGAGTGAGGTTACTAAGGAGACGGCGGTCATCCCCGGTACTGCTGGTCAGGAGGATCTGAGCCTTGTATGCATGTTGCATAATAGCTCTGATGTTCCATGAAATCCGGCATATGACACGTTGTGTCCGCTCGGCCGCCCTCTTGTGGCCACGGGCCGCCACCGCAGCCTTAGTCTCTCTACCAGCAGCAGCTGGAAGTACCATTGGAGCAGCTTGCAGGGTGGAATGGCTGTCACAAAAGGCAGCCGGCTCGTCCACATTTCACCCTTTCTTCTCCTCGCCGCCGTCCAGTGTGAGCACGGTAGAAGCTTGAACATTTCAGGGATTCCTCAGCAGTGATCACTGGCATGCTGCAGGGCGCCAGCTGCTGGACTGCATGGCTGTGCACCCCTTGAGGCTGGCATGGACTCATCCCCGGGCTGTGGGGGAGGGGGGTGTTGCAGAAGCTCACATTAGTGCAGCTTGTGTGTGTGTGTGTGTGTGTGGTTAGTGCAAGGCTGGAATATGAGGCAGCAGCGATGAACTGTGAGCTCCGTGTGCTGAGGTCTGCAGCTTTCCCCTTCTCTGCACTCTGGCTCTTCCCTCTGGCTGCCTGTGAGTACAATGCTTTGTCCTTTTCCAGCCCTTCCTTCCATGCTCCTCCGTGGGCATGCCTGCCTTCACCTCTATTGTTTTGGAATTTCCCTCCATGTCATATGACATTTACAGATTGAATATTAATTTATGTAACTTTATCCCCCAGAGCATTGTGGGATTTGTAGTCTTTTGTGTTGTGCAGTATGACATGTCTTGCCTTGGCCTTGCCTGTCACTAGCCGTTATGTGAACGTTGCTAGCCATGGCTTGGACAAACCAAGCGGCTCATCGCACGTGTTTTGTTTATTATTCATATAGCTTTGACTGATTTTAGTTTATGGGTGTGCAGAATCGCTCGCTGGCTCTGGTAGTGATCGCTCCCCGTCTTGATTCCTGTGTTCAGTCTCACTCCTCCTGCTGCAGTAAAGGAGAGTCTCGCCTCCTCCACACTCTGGAGTGTTAAAAGAATAGGGGGGTGTTGTGATCGGAGTGTGGAAATCTCCGATGGGTAGCAGTTTAGCGATTCAGCTCTTGACACCTATGGCAAACCCAACTATCACTTTGTAGTGGACTGATCCTTTAAGTCAGGGGTGCATGGCTTTGTATACTGCAGTAGGTGCTGTTCCGGAGAGCAGCGAGCGGGTGAACTGTCTTATGTAACCCAGTTGTAGGACACTGTTTATTGGAAGACTTTGTTTTCTTCCTTTTTGGCTTGTCAGATCGGGCCTGGGCTAGAGGAAACGAATATATTGACTACAGATTAGCGGGGCAAGGCTTGGGTCTGTGCCTGTTGTACTGTGACCTCGTGGCTGCCTGCTTTGGGTGGCAGGCTGACCGTGTACTAAGTGATCAGCCGTGTGCATGCTTTGTGTCTTCCCTCTGCAGAGGAGCTGGGCACGTAGGGGGGGGGATCTCGGCAAGCCAGAGCCGGACACATGGGGGGGTGCTTTGCAGATCAGAGCACGTAGGGGGGCTCTCCGCAGACCAGAGCCGGACACATAGGGGGGTTCTCTGTAGATGAGAGCTGCCATGTAGGGGGGCTCTCCGCAGACCAGAGCCGGACACCTCGGTGGGTTCTCTGAAGATGAGAGCCGCCATGTAGGGGGGCTCTCTGCAGACCTAAGCCGGACACCTCGGTGGGTTCTCTGAAGATGAGAGCCGCCATGTAGGGGGGCTCTCTGCATACCTAAGCTGGACACCTCGGGGGGTTCTCTGAAGATGAGAGCCGCCATGTAGGGGGGCTCTCTGCAGACCAGAGCCGGACACATAGGGGGGTTCTCTGTAGATGAGAGCTGCCATGTAGGGGGGCTCTCCGCAGACCAGAGCCGGACACCTCGGGGGGTTCTCTGAAGATGAGAGCCGCCATGTAGGGGGGCTCTCTGCAGACCAGAGCCGGCCATGTAGGGGGGCTCTCTGCAGACCTAAGCCGGACACCTCGGGGGGTTCTCTGAAGATGAGAGCCGCCATGTAGGGGGGCTCTCTGCAGACCAGAGCCGGCCATGTAGGGGGGCTCTCTGCAGACCAGAGCCGGACACCTCGGGGGGCTCTCTGCAGTTCATTCAGACTGCCACAATCCTGTGTTGATAGAAAGGGTGTCCAGTGGGGGCCACAATCATGTGTTGATAGAAAGGGTGTCTACTGGGGGCCACAATCACAACGTGAAATAAAGCTAGCATGAAGAGCATATGGGAGACATGAATAGATATAATGCATAGATAAAAATATTATATGTATGTGTATTGATTTAAATGTGCCTTATGGGGGGCACAACTTGAGGGGGGGTAGTATTAAAACTATATGGGATAAGTGTATTGATATAAAAAGGTGTCTACTGGGGCACACAAGGATTTGAGTGGCTTTGACAAATTGTGATTTCTAGACGACTGGGTCAGAGCAACTCCAAAACTGCAGATCTTGTGGGATGTTTCCGCTCTTCAGTGGTCTGGACCTACCAACAGTAGGAAATTCATTGAACGGGTCATGGGCAGGCAAGGCTCATTGATGCAAGTGGGAAGCGAAGGCGGGCCTGTGTACTCCGATCCAATAGAAGAGCTACAAATTGCTGGAAAAGTTAACGCTGGTTCTGATAGAAAGGTGTCTGGACATCATTGCAGTTTGTGTATGTATGGTCTATGTAGCTGTACCCTGGTCCGGGTGCCCATGCTGACCCTTGTCCACCACCAAAAGCACCTACAATGGCCACAAGAGCATTAGCACTGGACCAGGGAGCAATGGAAGAAGGTGGCCTGGTCTGGTGGATTACATTTTCTATTACGTCATATGGAACACCTGCTTACCGGTGGAAGAGATGGCCCCAGGATGCACTATGAGAAGAAGGCAAGCTGTGTGATGCTTTGGACAATATTCTGGTGGAAAACCTTGGGTCCTGCCTTCCATGTGGATGTTCCTTTGACACGTACCACCTACCTAAACATTGTTACTGACCAAGTGCACCCCTTCATTGAAACAGTATTCTCTGATGGCAGTGGCCACACTGCAAGAATGGTTCAAGAATGGTTTGAGGAACACAACGACAAGTTTGAGGTGTTGACTTGGCCTTCAAATTCTCCAGATCTCAATCCCATCAAACATCTGAGGGATGTGCTGGAAAAACAAGTCTGATCCATGAAAGCCTCGCCTCTGCAACTTACAGGCCTTAAAGGATCTGATACTGACGGCTTGGTGCCTGATAGCACACCATACCTTCAGAGATCTAGTGGAGTCCATGTCTCAATGGGCTAGGAAAAGGTGGACCTACTCAATATTAGGCAGGTGGTCATAATGTTATGGCTGATCGGTGTATCATTTACAGATAAAAATGTTTTATATTGATACTAAAGGTGTCTTATGTGGCCATAGTCACAATTTAAAAGTAGTATTAAAGCTATAGGGTGGTGAACGCGCTACAAAACATCCTACGCCCAAAGAAGTACAGGAGCTGCTTTGGGGCGTCTTTGTCGCGCGTTTCCATTGGGATACAGCTAGGTAGCCCTCGGAAATGCAAGTTTTTACCGCGAATCGCGCGACAAACGCGCATAGTCAATACGCCTAGGTGTGAACCCAGCCTAAGGCAGGAGTAGGCAACCTCGGTGCTCCAGCTGTGCTGCAACTACAACTTCCATCATGCTTCTGGCTCTGGTAGTTATGCCTTGCAATGCCTCATGGGACTTTCACCACAGCTGGAGTGCCGAGGTTGCCTACCACTGGTGTGGGGGTTCACTGCTCGTTTTTGTTTAGGGGTATTGGGTAAGTGATTTTGACTTGCCTGTCCCTGCTCCCCCAGTGGTCGGCACTCACTTCCTGGCTTGTGGAGTGTCCTCGCGTACAATGAAGGGCTATGGGTCCTGCGTTGTACTTGATGAGGTCTCTGGGCCTTTGCCTGATGGAGTGGGGATGAGGTCGGGGTGCCAGTCTTGGAGCCAGTGGCAATCCGTTAAGTCAAATTCCTTTACACCGGTTCCCCGAGACCTAAGCTGTGTATTGTGGAGGTAGCCCACTGCAAGGGGAGGGGTTTTCTCTGGCCCCCGGAGACATGCTTTAAAGTATACGTAACCCCAAAACTGAATTGTAATATGTAGCTGCACCTGAACTCTATGAAAACAAAGTAGACTTTGTGGCCGGTCACTACTGGATGACAATGCTCCCCCACAGCCTGAGGCAGCTTTGTCATCCCACCATGTGGCTTTAGGCTGATGTACAGGGAGCCTACAAGCCTGTTTGATTGTGCCGCCTTGGCCCTCATTCACATGGACCTCCTGCGTTTCAGGACAGATCTTGATCTGTACACAAACGTTATACTTTCCGGATCAGTTCTCCAGTTTTTACATACATTGATGCCTTCCGAGCATCTAATCTGCCCCTGGGCACATAGATTTCTACAGAACGCAGAGTGTGTGTTTTCTGTTAGGAATCTGAAGGCAGCAGAATTGTGTACTATGGGCCTGTGCAGGCAGCTGCCCTGTGCTCAGTAATCTTGTTCTGCGTTAAACCAAGCTATAAAATTCTGCATCCACCGTCAGTATTCCTACATAATGTAGGCATGTAAACGCATGTACGTGCTGGGATTGAAAATGGTGCTACAGAAATGGAAGGAGAATGTTATGGGGTGATGTTTGACTGGCGTTCACATATATAAACGCATGTTTAAGGAACAACAGGATTTTTTATGGCAGCAAGATCCCGCGCTGTGTTTTATTAAGCCTGTGTGCACAAGTCCTAATATCAAGGGTGGGTCAACTCCGGCCTTCCAGCTGTGTTGAAACTACAGATCCCATCATGCCTTTGCTTCTGGGAGCCATGCCTGTGGCTGTCAGTCTTGCAGTGCCTCATGGGACTTGTATTTGCACAACAACTAGACGGTTGGCATTTGACTACCTCTGACTTATACCATTCAGGGCCAGTTCACACCAGCTCCGGTGCATTCTAGCATGATTTGCTGCTGGAACGCACTGTAGCACATCTTGGCAGGAGGCGTGGCAGTGCATTAAAGTCAATTGCACCACAGCCCGCACCAGAATGCGTGGCACATGAGAGCCTGCGTTTTGGTCCAATGCAGTCTGAAAAAAATACCTGCAAAAATGCTGCTTGGACTGGAATGCAAGCCCTGACGTGCCATGCGTTCTGGTGCGGCCAATCGCACTGCGGAGAGCATGGCCATTGACTTTAATGCACCGCCACGCCCCCTCCCACTCTGAACGCAGGAAGCCAGCCAGGATACGCTCCAGTGCGTTTCAGCAGCGAATCGTGAACCAACCCTAAAACTCACTACCTGCATTTATATGCGTTTACTAATGTCCTATGTCTAAAAATGCTCATCACACGGATCTCTACACCCGATCATACTGCTGGAGGATGGCTGCAAGAGCCTACGTTAAAAAAACAAAACGCACCTAAGGCCTCATTCACACGAGAATCTGTTGGCACGCTGCGTGCACAGCCGTATCGGGGAAGCTCCCGGGAAGGACAGGTGCTGCGTGTGATTAGTACTCCGCCCCCGTCCTTCTCTATGGCAGCTCACCC